TGTTACAACAGGTACTAGTAATCAAACATGTTGGCTACCAACTTTCTTGGTTCAGTTGGTAAACATGTTGGTTGGTTTTCTGTGGTTTAATTTCAACAACCCTATATACGAGAAAATCCAGTTAATGTTGACTCTACATGGAAAGTCAGTTAGTGTTGCATGTTGACTCTACGAGGAAAGTTAGTTAATGTTCGCTCTATAAGGAAAGCCAGTTGAATGGTTATCCTAGACGACTAGTTCGACACATGGTTCACAAAGGATGGCTAAACTAGAGTGATGTTGTTTCTACTAGGAAATCCAGTGCAAACATCATGTGGGTTTTGTGAGGTGTATCATGATGAATTTGGAACTGTTTGTACCAATCCTAAATGACAACATGGAATACTTGTATTACGCAATGATAGAGTGGACATTGTGAAATGGAACACCATGTCTAGGGTAAGAGTTGTGCCTCATCTCCTTCATCGGTCCAGTCGGACAGGCTAGTAGTGGATTGGGTGGTCATTTAGGTTGAGCAGGGTAGAAACTTAATTAGCGATGTATAGACCCTTGAGCAGTGAAAATTAATAATAGTAATTACAAAGAGTAAGCATGTAGTAATTATATTGAGAAACTATTATTAATAAGTATTTATAATGATAAAGCAGGATAGTAAGTACAACGATGAAAATAATAATAGTAATAACAACGATGAATGAGGACAAGTAATTACAATTAAACGAGGAATAACTTATTATTATAATGATGAATATTGATAGTATACAATGTTATGTGCTATGTAAATCCGAAGACTTGTTGTGTGTTGACAATTCGATTGATTGATCGGTTAGGGGAATTGTATGTTTGCACTTTGAGACTGTACAACACTGACTCACTAAGCAGTTACTGACACTTGTTTCTTGTTTTTGTTTTCCATGTTTTCTTTTGTATTGGTACAAGTTGCTTGATTGTGTGGTTGGTGAGGTACAGATCCTTTTGGGTAGTTTGTTATTATGTTTAGTTGATACCACTTGGGCTTGTCATGGTGGTCGCTTTTGTTATTTGGAATTATTAAACTTAAACAATTTTCATTTGGGTTGTTTTTGAAAGTTAAGTAATGTTGGTGGTTGTTTTTCAAACATTTGATTAAAGAATTTCACTGCACATTTTTTGTTAAATGATATTATAATAAAGAAAAAAAATTGAAGTGAAAATCACGACGTTACATAGGGCTTTACATCTAGTTAGTTGGTTTGGGGTGTTCTAATGGATAAAGTTGGAAAATTTATCCATTAAGACTCATTCGGATCCAGATTTGAGAGTTGGAAGCTTAGATTTGAGAGTTGGAAGCTTATACTTAAGAGATTAATTCGAAAATTAAGTGCTAAATCTGGAAAGATGTCCATGCGCCTCCTGCGGTCGCTGGGGCGGTTTTGGGTTTTCCTGATGCACATCTAAATTGTGTGAAACTCGACTATTTTGTCTTATAGTGGGTATGGGGCGCCCAGAAAGGGGCGTTGGGCACCTTTTGACCAGAATGTTGAGTTTTGACTTTTTGTCTAAGTTTGACCTTCTGTCAAACTTCAGGGTTTGGGTTATATACTGAGGTTTCACCTTTTTTGAGTGTTTAGATGGTTCGTGAGACCAACCTTGTGCGTTTCATGTGCAGTTGTGATTTCCGAGTTTCAATGAGGTGCGTCTTCTCACTATATTATGTAGGACACTAGGTGTCAATGTATTCTTGTTATTTGTATGTTTTACATGCTTCGTTGGCTTAGACCATATGTGTTGCACCCATTATTTTGGGTTGGGGCAATTTTTCAGTATTGGGCCCATTATTCAGGGTTGGGCCCAATATTTAAGGTTGGTTTCATTACTTTATGATGTGTGTAGTATTTTTTAGAACTCACTAAGTTTTGTGATTACGGTTTTAAGTTGAATGACGCACGTTGTTCTGGTAGCAAAAAGGGAAGGGCAAAACGTGATTGCATGGTATCCTTGAATATGTTTTGAGAATTTCGTTTACTATCTTTGATACTTTAGTTTTATTTGTGATTATTGTTTTGAATAAATGGTTACTGTTTAATATTCTGGAAATGTAATTGGAACAAATACTTTTATTTTGAATGAAAAAACTTCGTTGAAATTAGGGGACGTTACAGGAGAAGTCCAAATATTGGTGTGAACACGTTCAAACACATGAGTAGTTTTAGTACATGACAAAGAAATTTGTAAACGAAAATGTTTTCCTAATAGACATGTGTGTCATAAAGAAGAACTTTGAGTAGAACAAGAAATAAAGTTCTATGACTTAAGAAACTCAAAGATAGACGAGCCTGGGTGGTCTAGTCTTCGATGTAAGGTATCAAAAGAGACAAAAGCAAGAGCGGAGGCATGGTCAGGTTGAATGAAAGAAGGAAGAACAAGATAAAGATTAGAGTGGTTGTTATCATAGTGCTACAAAATAGTACCTATTTTAAGATGCTTTATAATGAAACCAAACGATTCAAACTCAACATACACATATTTGTCAATGGAAAAACGACGAACAAAAATATTGTTTTTGATAAAAAAATTTTTAGAGATAATGACATTTTCAGTTACAAACGACTGTTAGGAAAAAGATTGACCAATAAAGTTTAATACGTAGAACAACACCATTACCAACGATTATGTATTTAGAATTACATAGATGTAGAGAACGCATTTACCTTTATTGAATGTCATATATGAGTCGGTGTTGAAGTCTATCTAGTAGTTGTTGTTTTAAGGGGGCTGGAGATACATGGCCTGGAAAATAGATTCAAGGTTTGTGAAATTTTATTGACCAAAGTGAGTAGCATTCCCACAAAAAGAAGGCATTTCTTACTATTGTGAAGAGTGATGAACTAAGCCGATGATCAAAGCATACTAAGTTTGTATCGGGGCAGAAATGACTTGCTGAGGATGACCAAAATAAGACTATTGTGGTACTGAGAATAGCCGATGTTGCGGTTGTTGATTGGCGGTGGCTGGATGAAACCGAGAGCAGCTAAGGATTGATGTTGTTGAACAACAATAGGAGGCTTCCAAAGGATGTTGTAGGTTGCCGGAAGTGCATGAAGAGGGTCAAGAAGGCCGTATTTCTACATACAAGGATTCCCTCTTACATTTTGCAATAAAAAAAAAAACTTGAAATTTGGATGAAGCGCCTTAAGTACCTGAAAAAGAATTGGAACTAGCGGAAACATTAGTATTATCCCATCCCTTGGAAGCAATTCATCAATTGTTTTTTCCTTTATTACGCTTAGATTTTGATTTCCCAGGTGATGAAGTGGAGGAGTATAAAGTCGTCGTTGAGGAAAGTGGAGCATCTCCGGTAAGATTAGTGATTTCTTCATGAGACTCATGTATAGGAACATGTTTTTTGCCTCAAGAAATGACGAAAATGGATTTTTGTTGGTAATCACACCAACTATGCTATGATAAGATGGCAGAAGTTGATGAAAATTTTACATTACCAGTATCACTTCATCAATTTCGATGTTGTAGTCTGCTAGTGCTTAAACTACGTTCTTTAGAGAGTGAAAAAAATTCAGTAATGACTCTTGGAGTTGTGGTTTGAATCGTTCGTGACATCTTATTGTTGATGAAGAATTCATAGGGCTTTTCCTATAAGTCTTTGAGGTACTATTGTTGCTAGACATAATTTATAAGAGATTAGCATCACAAGTGGAATAAAACTAAGATTTAATCCGAGAATCAAAGTTTGTCCAATATTCATCATCATCACCTTGAGGTTTGAGATTTTCCAATAATATGGTCATGGACTTTAGCACCTTTTCACATGTCAAGAAATATACATGACTATAATATACCATAATTACAGTCTACGGTAAAGATCATTGTCTTGCAATAGTAGTTTAGGCCATGGTGGTGTTGGATGACGATGTAGTGGTCATCGGGTATCGGAATAAAAACATCAAACAAGAAACAAAGATCGTACCCGTGGGTACGTAGAGGGAATAGAGTATATCGGAATTCCAATCCACATTAAAAATAGTTGAATAAGTTAGATGACCACCCTGACGAGGAGGTGATAGTCGGCGACAAGAGAATGCAACAACGATGACTGGAGAACAACATGGAAAGTTGGACAACTGGTTGTGATGGTGCAGTTGTCGACACCAAAAACAGCGAAATTTTTTTTTTAGGGTCCAGGGATTTTAGTGAAATCTAGAAATCATATTGCTCGATACTATGTTAGAATGTATGGAAACCTTCTATTAGGCGTGCATAGTAGAAATCAATATATACTATTATAATTTACAATAGGGCCCCTATATTATAAAAAGAGTAAAAATACATTATAGAAATATAAAATAGCTGTCTAAAAATAATATTTGTAGTATTGTAGTTGATATTTAATAATTTTGAATTTTTCAAGAGATAAATAGAAATTACCAAAGGTTTTTAGCCCAGCAGTATCCAGTGTTGCCTCATCCCTTGAGGTTGAAGGTTCAAGTCCCACAGTGGACATAAGTGGAAGAATTTACATGTTTTTTGGTATATTTGCAGTTTCAAATAAATAAATATATAAATAAAAATAAATAAATAAATAAAGTTAGAGCAACAAAAACAATAGAAAAAACAAAGCAAAGAAAGCCATGATTATTGGACTAAAAGTCTAAAACACCGATCATAATATTTATACTAGCACTTTTAATTAGTTCAAGAATCTTTGATTTTTATGCCAAAGAGCCCAAAGACATGGAACTAAATGATCTTAATTATTATCTCGTAAATAAGTGAACCTTTACAACAAACAATCCTACAATGTTAAATTATATTCTTGCATAATTGCGTTAATTTCCTATAATAAGAGTAATTGACAAGCCTTTACATTCTACAACAAAGTAAAGGAAGAATGGGTGGCCAAAAGAATGAATAAATAAAAAAAATGATATTCACTTTTGATATGAGCCCTAAGATGACTACGTATTATACTTTTTGGTGGTGAAAGATCATGAAACAAATGATCGTCAAGGCACAAGTTCATTTAGTTCAGTATCATCATCTTTATTCATAGCAAAAGTCAGTTCTTCTGCTCTTTTCGCTTGATCTCTCCAGTCGGTTTTCACCAACGTGTACACCATTAATGATACACAGGCTGCCTGTGATGCAACCAGCCCTAGCCATAATCCTCGATAACCTATCTTCAAAACAAAAGCCAGAACGATTGACAATGGAAGCCCTATCAAGTAGAATGCTGCCATATTTATCCGAACCCCCACTTTAGGTCTGGCAGAGCCTGTTAATGCACCACAAGCAGCTGTCTGTGGAGAGTTACCCACCTCCGCTAAACCTGTTACTGGCAAGGCCGAGGAAAGCAATGCAAGGACCTGGTCTTCATTAGTGTATAATTTTCCAAGAACATTTCTTAAAGCAATAGATGATCCAAAGACTACAAGCCCATATATGAAGGCAATGGAGATCCCGATGATTGTAGCACGTTGAGCACGAGCTGGGTGGCCTGCACCCAGCTCGTGTCCAACACGTTGAGATATGCTGAGGCTCAAAGAAAATGGAATCACATAGATGGCGCCTGTGGTTTGCATGATGATTCCGGTAGCTGCTACACAAGATTGAGGATTATCTAGCAACCCACTGAGGAAAAGAATGATCTCGTACAACCACCACTCCAAACAGACCGAAAACATACTAGGTATAGCCATGCTCAACAATGGCCCCCAACCCTTGAAGATTGAGAAGAAACTGGTCTTACTACTAGCAACCCAAGGCTTAATCGCAACTTTGGACATGAAGATATAGATCAACAATCCCATATTCATGTTATATGTGAAGCAAGTTGATGCCATAGCTATACCTTTCACTCCTAAATTTAAGTAAATAATCAGGAAGTAGTTAATAGGGAGATGCAAGATGGTGGAACAAGTCGCAACAATGGTGGCAGGTGAGTTCAACCCTTGTGCACGTAAAAAGAGACCGTAGTGGTTGGAGGTGGGCTAGAGCTGGGAGCTCGGGGAGCGAGAATGTTAAGTACATGGCTGCCACCTTGGTGATCACGCGGTCTTGACCAAGCCTATGGAACACAGGCTCCACGTTTAGCCATAGGAAGGTGACGGGCACAGATGTAAGCAAGAGAAGAATGAAGGTTTTGATGTACGTCTGGCTTAGGACAGATAACCTTTTGGCACCAAAGGCTTGATAGCAAATTGGATCCATGCCCATGCATAAACCTTTCATGATTGAGAGGCCTGTAACATTCGCAAAGCCGATGGCTAGAGCACCTCCTGCTAGTTCAGTTTTACCCATGTGGCTTAAGAATAGCATGGAGATTATGGACTTTGAAAATACAAGGAAAGTGGTTGTTGCTACTGGACAAGCTGCCTTCCCAAGCAATCTTACCTCTTCTACAACCTATATGCATGCGATGAAAGTTAGATAACAAGTCGTTTTAATTTTAAATATATACATGAAATCAAATGTCATATATA